TAGATTCACCCACAACACTCCAACCATAAGCTTCGACCCGGTGATGGAGATCACCGATTAATTGAGAGATTGTCGAACTAAAAAAGGAATAAACTACCATCAAGCAATGAGATAAGGGTATATGATGCATGACTGCTTTGTTCTTGAAGAAGCTAGGAGTTTCTGCGTCGGGGAGATTCGGCGGCCAACAGTTGATGGAGACCTGGAAATACCACCACGACAGCACCTTTGGAATTGGAATGAGAAAAAGCATCCTTGCCTAGAAGCTTATAGTTGCTGGACAGGTATTATTATCTTTCTTTGTCGTATATAAACAAAACAATGGACTTTTGGAACAGTATTGGGATGCAAATCAAGCAAAAGCCCATTAAACGCCCATTAAACTTTCATATTATTTAACATATATCCCTTATTTTTTATGGTTTCTTATTAGTAATATAGTAAACTAAGTAATATATTTAGATAAATTTTTTGTATACTAATTTTTTATAATCTTTAAAATAATAATATTATAAATAATATAATAATGCTCTCTTCACGCTTTCAATATTAAATTATTCCATCAGATACGCTCCCACGCTCCTGTTCCCGCTCTCGCTCCATGAACTAGTTACCTAACCTCTGCAATTTCATTCGTTGTGCCAGAAGATAGGGCTGTCACATTTGTGTTTTGTAGATGACTTACTTATCTTCATGAAAGGGACAATGGAAGGGGTACAAGGGGCGGCTGAAGTACTGAAGCAGCTCTACTAGATCTCTAGTCTTAAATGCAATCCACAGAAGAGTAAACTCTTTCGTGCTAGAATAGAGGAGGATCTGAAGGTTGAATTAATTAGACACTCGGTGCTCCAGGAAGGCAAATTACTAGTCAGATATCTTGTGGTCCCCCTGATAGCAAGCAAGCTTTAAGTTGTGGACTGTAAAGCTTTGGTTGATCGAATAATGAAGCGAACTACATGTTGGCAGGCTCTTACCCTATCTTATACAGACAAATTTCAGTAAGTGACATCTGTGATAGCTAGCATTGCTCAATTTTGGATGATGATTTTCCAATTGCCCAAAAAAGTAATCAGGGAGATAGAGAAACAGAGTTCTGCATTTCTCTAGGGGTCAAAAGAAGGGAAAGCAAATGTTACATGGAAGATTGTGGTCTTGCCAAAGAATGAGGGAGTTTTAGAGTTTAAGGATCTATACAGTTGGAACAAAGCTTGTCTAGTGAGGCATCTCTAGAATGTTCTATCAGACCAGGAGACCATGTGGATAGCCTGGCTTAAAGAATATAGGTTAAGGAATGTCATTATATGGGAATCATGTACTCCAGGTGCTTGCTTGTGGAATAAGGTGTTGAAGTTGAGGAGTCAAATACAGGGTTGCCTAGATAAAACAAGGGTTGGAGTGACATGGGAAGGAAAGCTGATGGCTAAATATACTATCCAGCTAGTATGAGAATGGTAATGCATGGGCTAAGTAGGATGGTAATGCATGGGCTCAACTTATTTGAAAGAAAGTACAAATACCAAAGAAATCCTTGATCACTTGGCTAGTCACACTTGATAGAATCTCCACCTTTGATAAAATCAAGAAATGGCAGCTAGATATAGTCAATAAATGTCCTTTGTGTTTGGGGTAGGAAGAATCCAGGGACCACATTCACTTTGAGTGCGCATGAAGTCATGAACACTTCTACTATGTTATAAAACATTGGTGCTTTAATGTACAACTTAAAGTTGTACCATAACATTAAATGTATAAGTTCAGATTGTACCATAAAGAAATTGTACCATTATGTTATCGTACAACTTCACAACTTGAAGTTGTACCATCACATAAAGGTACAAGTTCAAGTTGTACCATAAAAGAATAATGACTATTTATTAGCCAAATCTTTTTCGGATTCTTTTTTATTAGTCAAATCTATCGAAATACTAAGAATTAACCAAATGTTAGCTTTCAGTTAGCAATTTTGTTAGTAATATTGACTTGGCAACATGATAATGACTTGGAAGAGACACATGAAGGTCAACATTCCAAAATTTTAGTATTTTAACCAAAAAAAGAGTTACAAAATTATTAACAATAACGTAAAAATGGCTAATATTTTGATGCATTACGAAAAATTTAGCTAATTAACAGCATTTTAATAGGTTTGGATGATAAAAAAAATCCGAAAAAGGTTTGGATAAAAATAGACATTACCTAAAGAATTTGTACAAAAAGTATAGATACAATCTGAAATTGTACCATAACGTTAAAGATACAATTTTAAGTTGTACCATAAAGACAAAAATCAAAGCACCAATACTATATAGCATTGTAAAATTCCTCAAGTGCCCATTTGTGCAGGAGGTGCCTTGAGTTGTCTTCCCTGCAATCTGGGACTATCAGCCTCTGGCAGAATAGCATGAAGGTTTGCAGGAAGCAGTGGGTAAGTTCCAAGGGTATTGTGTAGGGAGGTAACTTTGGAATTTAATGGTAAGTGAAATCTGGAGAGAGAGGTGTTGTAGAGTATATGGTAAGAAGTCTTTGACTGCAGCAGCTTTGATTGCTAAAATGAAGAGTACGTTGGAGGGTCTGATACTAGGCAATATGCAACTAAGTGTAGAGGTTGATAAGAAAAAACTCTGGTTCATGTAGACAGATTCAATAGGAGCAGTAGTTGGCAAAACAAAATAGTTTCCATAAATGGTCTTATTCCTTGTAGCATCTATATTTTCTTTATAGTTTGTATTAGCTGAAAGTTTGGATTGATGAACCCTCTTTTGGCTTGTGTTGTAAGGACATTACTTAGACGGAATACAACTTGCTTATTCATCAAAAAAGATTTTTTCCAACTATACCACCTAAAACAAAAAAATCCAAAAATAACACCCATTTTCAAAAAAAATTCAAAAATACCACCCTTTCCCTCAAACCGCCACCTCACCTCGCGGTTAAGGTGAAATCGCCACCCACACCCCGCGGTTTTCCTTCCTGCCGCCAAAAGACCGCATGGTGACGAAGCATTATGATAAACCCTTGGGGGGAGGGGGGGTTTACCATGAAAACCGCCGAACACCTAGCGGTTTGCATTTTTTTTCCTCAACGCCTAACCTAAGCCAAAATTTCAAACAAACTTAACTTTGCGCTCGGGTATCCTATCATAGCGAATTTTTGTTGATTTTGCATATCTTTTCGAGATCTTGCAAGCCGCAAACCGCCTCGTCCCTCCTTCATCCCGAAAAAACGTCGTTTGCTACCCCGAACGAGCAATTTTTTTATTTTGCCAAACTTGAATGACCATAACTTTGCGCTCTACACTCCGAACGTCATGAATTATTTTTATTTTGCATAACTGTTTAAAGACTAGCAATTCCTTCCTAGTAAAACTTGTATTCCTTAAAAAGTTATGTGGAATCAAAAACAGTTCATGACGTTCGGATTTTGGAGTACAAAGTTATGGTCGTCCAAAGTTTGCCGAAATCGAAAAATTGCTCGTTCGGGGTAGCAAACGACTTTTCTTTGCGACGAAGGCGGGACCTATGACAGTTTGCAGCTTGAAGCTTGCAAGATCTAGAAATGTACGTAGAATAAAAAAAATCGCTATGATCGGATACCTGAGCGCAAAGTTAAGTTCGTTTGAAGTTTCGACCTAGGTTAGGCGTTGAGTGAAAAAAAAATATATGCAAACTGTTGTGTGGGGGACGGTCTACATGGTAACCGCCCCTACCCCCACGGTTTATCTTAACGCCCAGTCAGCCCCTACCCTCCGTGGTTGATCATAATGCCCCGTCAGGCCGTCATCATGCGGTCTTTTGGCGACGAGAAGGAAAATTGCGGGGTGAGATGGCGGTTTTCACCTTAACCACGGCGTAGGTGGCGGTTTGTGAAAAAGGACGGTATTTTTGAAAAATTTTCAAAAATGTATGGTATTTTAAGAAAAACAATTGTGATATCTCTGAAAAAAAAATCAGGAATCTTCCACCGTCCCCTCCAATCCATTCTCGATACAGACTTACGTTGTCTACTTGTGTCACTATTCACACTTATCATCATGACGGGTCTGGACTAGTGTGAGCCCATAGGACCGAGGCCCATGAAAATGGGTTCATGCCCAAAAGCAAGAGACCCGTCAGAAGTAGTAGCCCGCTTTGAAGGTGGAAAGGGGGAGAAGTAGGGGGTGCAATGGTCTAGTCTGTATCGGGCCACATCGGATCAAATCGATGTTAAGATTGGACCAGATGAAACTGAGTATAATGTGGTCTGGTCTTTAGTTTCCATGAATTTTATAATTACGGCAGAAATAAGGGACCGAATATATATTTGTACCGGACTGAACCAGACCAAATGGACCGAATGTAAAAATGATATAATCCTTGATCCTAAAATATCATTCATTCATTAATGGACCGCTGTTTTCATAAGTTTGATCTGATTCAGACTAGACCATTGCACCTTTGGTAGAAGAGAAGAAGCGGGGCATGGCTACAGGGTGTGCGATTTCATGTCTGTCGGTTCATCTTTGGGAAACGATAATGAAAGGTAGGTAGAGACAGAGACCATTAATAGTGTGTTGGCTGCTAGTGTTGTTACCGAACAACAATTACCAATTTCCGATTTCATTGCTTAATTGACTACAGGCTGGCCACCATTGGCAGATCTGCTGGCATGGGATCCAGCCATAAATGGCAATAGCCCACATCTCAATCTCATCCACCTTTTAATCACAAAAAAGAATTCCATTCTAGTATTCCTACTTATACTACTGTTATACATACCCTCCTCAGTGGCTCAGTCCCTTACCTCTTCATTGCCCGCCTTGGTTTTCTGTGTACCTCTTAATGTACACGTACTGTACTCAGTTGTGTGACCATATATAGATTCAGAGCAGAGCAATTAATATCGTTTCTTCCATAAGTGAATCTAGCTTACATTATATGCAATTCCTACTTCCTACCCACTCTAGGGAGTGGGACTAACTAACAATACAATAGTACAATACTCTTTGCTTATAGGATACAACTTGCCTGGAAACTTGAGAGATGACTTAAAATGGCAGGTGAACAGACTGAATCGGTATCATTCACGCAGCGTATTAGATACCGATTGGGTGATGCAGAATGATCCTAAAGACGGCATGCAGTCTTACCAAAATATGAAATTGCAGGGGAGAGTTTCTTAAGGAAAAGGAGTTCATAAACAGGATGACAAGGTAGAACTCGAAACCGAAAAACCATTCCTTTCGATTATTACACATCATAAAACAGGATAACTAATCCAGAATGATCAATAATACCCTGTAGGCTGTAGGCATGTACCCAAGTTCTAATGCTGTATACATACATAGCTCTAAAAAGAGATGGGGGAGAGAAACAGAAGCAAAAAAAAATCAAATAAATTTGCCCACACTTTCAACAATCATACCTACAAAACAGGTCCCTTGAGGCATTGCGAGTATTTTTATCTGTGCAAAACATGTATCCGATTTGACACGGTTTGCCTTACAGACTTGCATCTGACAGGTCATAGTCAAAAGTACAGCTGATATATAGTTGTTCATGTATAGGGGTGGCAGGTTCATCGGTTAATATGCGTCACGAAAATTGTTAACTGACCTCTGGCTGTAGAATTGGGAAGAAAGTCCAGCCATCGGCGGCAGGTTTGGATTCCTTCCCAGCAATGGTCTCGTTAGCCCACCACTCCGAGCTGACAGCAGGCTTATTGTCGAGGGATTCTCCCTTCGAGCTATCGAAGTTGAACTCTTTGATTGATCCAAGTGTGACTGACCGCTGCCTTCTGTAGCTAGGCTCCTCTTCTGCTTCAGCCAACGATTTGCCAGGTGTCTCATTGAAGGTCTCCCCAACTCTGAAAGAGCCTTCACATCTTGAGAAGTGATTTTCTTCGGCGCGGTCATGCTCTAGGAAGGTTCTGTTTGAAGCCATAGATTTGCTTTGTAGGCAACGTGCTACGTCTTCACCACTCAACTCAAAAGAGACTCTGTGATCAACTATAGTCTCGTTGGTTTTAGCAACATTTCCCAAGAGGGGAAGATGTGCAATATCAGTGACCAGGTTCTCAGGAACCACAGATATTGGCGTCAGGGCTCCTGAGCCCAGCCTTGAATACAGACCACCACCTTCTGGAGTTGCAGTTCCTGAACCAAGCCTTGAACCACCTACTACCCACATCCCATCCGGAGTCGCGGTTCCAGACCCAAGCCTCGAACCCAAACCCACGCCATCTGGAGTAGCAGTTCCAGAACCAAGCCTTGGACCCACTACCCACATTCCATCTGGAGTTGTGGTTCCTGACCCTAGCCTGGAACCCAAACCCACGCCATCCGGAGTCACAGTTCCTGAACCAAGCCTTGAACCCAAACCCACGCCATCTGGAGTCACAGTTCCTGACCCCAGCCTTGAACCCAAACCCACCCCATCTGGAGTTGCAGTTCCAGAACCAAACTTTGAACCCCGACCCACCCCATCAGGGGTCACAGTTCCAGAACCCAATCTGGAACCCCATTTGCGAGTATTAAAATGCTCAAACCCAATGAGCTTAGTAGCCTCCCCAGTACGGAACTCAAGAATCGGGTGTCTATCAGGGAAAGGAGAAGAAGTCCCTGAGTTTGAGATAACTGACCCTGGGGAGATGAGTTGACCACCGGGGCTTCCTGAGTATATTTGAGGGAATTCATAGTTGTAGAATCCAAACTTTGAAGTGGTTCCCCCGCTGTTCCTTCGAGCGCGTTCAAGAGAAGATGTCAGAAGCTGGGCAAAGGGCACCTCAGGTGAAGACGGTGTTGTTAGTTGAACTGATTCAGGTGGTGGGGTGAAAGGAGCAGTGGATGGTTGAGTGGTGAAGGCAGAAAACACAGGGGGTGTCACTAGCTGAGTCTCATGCGCATAAGGGCCTATAGCAAACATGGACGGAGGTCCACGAGGGGAATAGGCATTGGCAGAAAGAGAATTAAGAGACAATAGCCCTCCAGGTGACTGAGTGACTGAAGGAGGATCGGATTGAAGGAATGAAGCAGGGGAGGAAGGAGGAGCTATAAAGGGAAGGACAACTGTGGTTGAGTGAGTTTGGATTTGAGTCTGGGTGGGAGAAGGTTGTGCTACTCGTGATGCTTCTGGTTCGGGTACAAGGACAGCATGACCAATGCGCTTGTTGCTTTTCTGGGAACCAAAGCACCAGTACATACTCCAACAGCCTTTCCATCTTCTTTTCTGTACCAAAGATAGCATATTGAGAGAGAGAAAAGATAGCAATGTAAGTATCTATCCATTCTTGAAACAGAAAGCATGAGAATCTGCTATTCCTATGCTTCAAACACAAACAAGAAATCAATGGAAAGGGAAAGGGAATTGGGTCCAATTTCAATCGAGCAAAACTAACCCAAAGAAATTGGATAAAGCAGTTATAACGACACAGGCAACGATCTGTCATCTGAAGGATTTTGATTACGATAGCCTTCTAACACCTTGAAAACAACCTTCTAACACCTTGAAAATAACTACCGTAAGAAGAAAACCTCGGCATTCTGAATTTCACTAGCAAAGGAAAGTCAGCATCACTGTTCTCTTAATTTCTATCAATTTCCAGGCAATACCGTGCGAGCTTAGACTAAACGAAAGCAGATCAGCTACACATTGAAGATCATTAACTTGAGGCCAAAATTCCACAAGAAGGATAATCGTCCGCAAAGCTGTAAATCTAAACTATCAAGATCGTACCAAAATTGAACTGAATAAGATCCGGAAGCTTCCTAATTCCAATCCAGATCCAGAATTTTCACTCTCAGCTAGCAAACAGGAAATGATCGGGGTCAAAGAGGAAATAAGCAGCCAAACAGCTGCGAAGAACTACATCCAGCAGAGCCAAACAGTATCAGGAACCACTCTAGCTGAAGTGAAAGAAAAAGGAAAAGAAAATCACTCGATTCAGCAAAGCAGGTATTTGCTCTCCCTATCTCCTTTCCGGCTTTAGCTTTTGACTTTCCAAACAGAGGGACTAATCGGAGTTACCAATACAGAAAAAGGTAAAAGCAAAGACCAAATTTCCTCGTCAAAATTTTTCCAATAATCATTGCAAGAAATCACTACAGTCGTCGTAAAAAAAGAGAGCCGCCGTAATCAATCAAAGCAGATAGAAGAAAACATGCAACCAACCAGAGAGGAAATAATTACCGGAACGGAGGGCTGCTGGAGGCGAGTCTCGGCGGAGACGATGGCGGTGGCGGCAGCGTTGACGGTGTCGACGGTGGTGGTGTTGGCGACAGTGGCCGTCGTAGCGCCTCTCATCTCGGGATTCAGAAAGACGAGCAGCGCAGATGGCGTATCATGCTCTCCCGCGATTCGATCTAGAGAGAATGTAAAGCCGCGGACAGACGAAATGGAATCTGAATCCGCACCAGATAGAAACAGAGCGAAGATTGAAGGAGAAGAAGGGGGGGAACTGTGTGAGCTTTGAACACGCAGAGATCAAATCGGAAATGCTTTCTCTCTCTCTTCTCTCTATTTGGCTGTCTAATGAAGTTGGTTTGTTGGTTGAGTTTACGTTACAGCTCTCTTCCTTCTTCTTTCCTTTCTCTCTCTCTCTGCCCGTCGTCTCCGGTCCTTATCTTGCAGCGGCCGTCCATTTCGTGAGATTAATAATTGCCACGTCAGGCGATATTAGGAGGAGATGACATGGACCCCACCACCACTTCTTCCCGCTTATTATTGTGTATGCCGTATGCGCGCTTTTGTGGCAACATGAAGTAAATTAAATTAGGGGAAGGTAAATCAAATTTTATATTGAAAAATTAATAATTGTAAAATTGTATATTATTTGTAAAATTGTAAAATTAATAATTGTGTTGGAAACATTAATGGTATAGTATATTATTTGAAATTGTGATTTAACTATGGTTCAATCATTTTATATTGTTAAAATTTGTTAGTGATTCAGTTTTTGTATACAATATTTTTTTTGTCGAACTACTGTTACGGTATGGTTTTACATAACCACTAAAAAACCACATCTTTAATATTTCGTTTTAATAACATCTGAAGATGGATCATCATGTCCATTGCGGGCTTCATAGTTCGAAATTGGGGATCTAGAATATCACTTTGTGAAAAAAAAACTCAGATAGCGGCCATTAACTAAGCACATTCCATCGAGTCAAGGATTTTTGTAGGAATTGAACGTATGACCACATTTAATCGTTGGTCCTGAATACAAATTTTTTTTATGGTTTTTGTTTTTGTTAGGGGGATCACGAGAAGAGTAATGGAGGGGGTGAGAAACTCGTGTGGTTTGATCTCTTGAGTAGGGATGGCAACAAAACCCGAACCCATGGGTACCCACCCGACCCAACCCGGTCAACGCGGGTAAAATCCGTGTTGACGGGTTTTGGGCTGGGTTTGGGTTTAAACCCGTTCACTATTCACTGGGTTGGGTTGGGTTGGGTTTGGGTTTAGGCAAACCCGGCCCGTGGGTACCCGCCCACCCATATAATTAATTTTTTCGGTATATTTAATATTCTAAACAACTAATCTTATTTATGTTTGTGGAGACAAGTCTAATTTTTTCTTTTTAATTGTGTAGAATGAAGTTGATGTTATGGAGTGGAGAGTAAAGAAACTTAATTGAAAGGAAGAAGCTTTCAATTGAACATGTTATTTATGGATAATTTGTGATTTGCTTCAATTTTCTTGAGTTTTCTAGATTGGTGTTGAACAATTTGTATAGTTAATTTGTGATTTACTTGAATTTTCTAGAATGGTGTTTTATATATGGATAATTTGTATTGAGAGATTGATATTTGACTTTAATTTTGATAAGAACTTGTAACTGTAAATTTTTTACGACAAAACCCGTGGGTACCCACGAACCCGCGGATACCCAACGGGTTGGGTTAGGTTTGAGTTTTTCAAACCCAATGGGTTTTACCCCGGGTTTTTTTCAAAGACAAACCCATGGATTTGGGTTTGGGTTTGGCAAAACCCGACCCAACCCGACCCATTGGCATCCCTACTCTTGAGAGTGTAATTTAAATTTGCGGGTAGCGAGTTGCTTTCGGTACGCCGAACCTGCCCCAAAAATAATTATCCCTCAAGAAAAAGGAAAGTGAAGAAGACAGAAGGGAATGGGAGAGCGCGTGGGACTCGTGACCCTTCTCATTCCTCCCACACCACCACCAAGCCCATGTGCCCTGCTTGCAGACTTGCTACTCACCACCACTAATTTTAAATAAATAGAAAAAAAATTCATTATTAAGGGAAGGGAAGGGAGGAGATCTGGGCGTTAAAAAATTAATCTAGGGGGGGGGGGAATCGCGACCGTTAAAGTGGTTGACTTTCCGGCGGGGGTGAAGGTGAATAAATAGTATGGGATGCGCTGGATCGGGCGGCGGAGATGGCAGCTTTAGCCAAGTGGACATATGCGGGTCGGCTGCAAATGTAAATGCTAGCTACTACTGTCCAAGTACTGCTGCCCTACTGTTTATCCTTTTCTTTTGTTTATAAAACTTGTTTTTTATATTTTGATCAAAAAAAAAAAACTTGTTTTTTATATCACATTTTTTTATAAGAATAATATAATTAGATGTTACTGAATGAATGAATGAATTCGTACATGAACAAATAAGTCTTGATGTCACTTATTTGGAGAAGGGATTTGACTTCCTCTTTCTTGTATGGTGGGTTAGCGAGGAAATGAGAACAACGGCTTAAATCATTAGGTGTAGGCGCTTTCCAGAAGACATGAAGCAGAGGGGGGGATTGCATTGCACATTTGCACCAATTCAGCTCGGATTATGAAGCAAAATAGCTTACATACATTTTTTTTTTAAAGATACTTTAACTTCGGGGTTAACACAAAATATTTCCTTTTCTTGCGATTAGCAAAAACAAAACAACAATTGTGGCGTTAATTCCCTCCCTCCTTTCTTTTTAGTGGTATGGTATCTTATCGAGCGTCGTGAAAAAGCGTGCGCACGTGTGGGTTCCCTTTCCCACCCACTAGCTTGCTGCTGAGATGGGGTTTCGTGCACAACCACAACACAACCCAACCCTCGTGTGGAAGCCCAGCACCAAACAAAGACGACAGCAAAACAAAAAAAAAAAACAGAAAAGGAATTCCTCTCGTTTTCCTGGATGAATAATAATAAGCCTTTCCAGTTCCCCCTATGGAGAAAAGAAAGAAAGCCTTTTTTTCCCCTTCTTTCTCTTTCTTTTACGAAAAAAGGAGAAACTTGCACGAGTGTATTCCTTTTCTCATTGTTCGTCGTCACCATGTTATCCATTTGCTCTGGTTTTGTGACGATACGAGTGAAAAGAATTAAAACTTCAAAAGGGAGCCTTTTCTTTGATTGGAACGAACACTACTACTGCTCCAACTTTAACCTCCTCAAAAACTTTTTCTTCTTCATCCTCGTGTGCTTCTCAATCGGTGTGGCAATGTAAAAACATTGTACTCAAAAGTGGGTTTTGGGTCGAGGAATTTTAATATGGTTTAAATCGTAGTGCTTTAGTTTTTATTTTTATAGTATACTCGAAGTTGTGCTTTTTAACACCGTACAATATTTAGATTGTAATTATACTATTTTGTATAATTCTTTTTATGGTACAAACTAAAATTGTACCTATATATTATGAAGGGCGATTTTGGGTTGCACTTTGCACCATGCATCATTGCCATTAGTTCATACTTCATACTTCACTCACAAATGACCATCACAATACTGCTGACTTCCAGTAACATAAATATTGTTTTTCAATTCATTATCTGCTGATGTTGTTGGGATCTCGTAGCTATTTTAGAAAAAATTGAACGAATTTTCGTCATGCAATATTTTTTTTTTTTTTTTGTGTTTCTCTATAATGAGAATAATAGAGCGTTTCTCTATAATGAGGATAATAGATTTATTACTTTAAATCTTTATGTGTTATGCTAGTCAAGTTCAAATTTCGAATTTTTATAAATCTCAAATTGAATGCAGTTTTTCCTCTCTTTTTTCTTGCAAAAAATATTTTTGGGGAAGCAACTATACACGAGTATGAAAATATCATCTTTGATGGCCAAATCATAAAAAAAAGAAAAGATAGGGATAATGGTCAAATCATAAGTGGATCTATCGATAAGAAAACTTACTTCGTCGTGATATAAAAAATATTGTGACACCTTCAAGGCATGCTTTTTCATCTTGTCAACAATATGGATAAAATGTTGTTTTTTTCAATAACTTTAAAGATCAAATTGTTGGGTTCTCCTTGCTTATTAGGGATCTTATCATAGGCAATTCTACTTATAGTTGCATATAATGAGAATGAACATAGTGGACCGCTTGATTTCATTGGTTAATAGAATAGGTATCTCCTCGAAAATGATGTTATGTGGGACGTGTTTGTTCAAAACCCAATTTAAAAAAAATTAATAGACAAATTCAACCAAATCTACATATTAAGTGGTGGAATTCCTGGATGCTTCCCAAATTAGATCTACAACCTTCATCGACAAATTTGACAATGTCTACGTCGCTTACATATGTTAAACACCTCAGAAAAGGGAAACACCATGTGCTAGAGAAAGGGGGTGTTAAGCATAATTGCCTAGTAATTGGTCTACCAAATCAGATTCCTGCAACTTGCTCTCTCCATCTCTCTCTAGCCTCTATCCTTCTTTTTTAGGGTTCCAGAATGCGGATTAATTTATGATTAATCATTAATGTAGTTTAAGTAAGTGCAAAGATGAATGATTGGGGATTATTATTTTAAGCTAATCAAGTTAGCGTTAGAACTGGAGGTTGGAATGGGTCCAAGTAAGATGACAAATGATGCACTGGATATTTCTAATAAGATGGGGGGGCAACCTAAAAAATAAAATGAAATGAAAATTGGGGTTGAATCTTATTATGGCTTTATTAGTGTTGCGTGGGGGAATTAATTATAGAAAAAAATGGAAATATGGTCCTACAAACCAAAAAGCCAAACCGGACACACCACATGTTCCAACTTATCAAGTAGGTGGGAGGGATTGATCGTCCCCTCCTAATTCCCTTCTTATTAATGTTTATATTGTTTTGTATCGCGGTGTTTATGGTACACCCCTCGATTACGAGAATATACGATATGCTACACGTACGTTGTATTAATAACTTGGTTTGTGCTAGAATGAACTCAAAATTTAATCACATGATAATGAATGAGAAAAATGTATAAATTTACACATAAATAAGTTTGTAATTTGCTTGTGTTTTAAAGGAGTTTGTTCAAAACCTTATTCGAAGTGGGGTGGAAGGCATGCTTGTTTGTAAATTTACACGAGTAAAGTGCAGCTCATTTCCCTAGTTTCAAGCATTTTATAGTGTTGGATGAATCTTGCCTGCTTCCGTTGATTCTCGGACAGGTTGAGGTGTTGTGTCATAAACTTTTACGAGGAGTTGACGAATTTGACGCTCATTTAGGGCACTTGTAAACCTACCTTGTAGCAGGTTGACATGCCTAGAGCTGAGAGGGTAAGGTGGATAGAGATAAATAGATTTCAAATTCCTGAAATCGTGTTTGTATGATCCGCCACATTTTGAATTTATGGTTCCAGCAACAATTGTTGTGTATAACATGAGTAAAAAATTAGTCTAATGGTAATACCATTAGCTTTGAACCTAAAGTTCTCGGATTCAAATTTCTTCAACTACAAAAAGTAAACCTATATCTGTATTTTGCATCATACTTCTATTATGTGGAGTATATCAGTATATGAAAGC